TGCTGTAGCAAATATGTGCTTTGGAATTCCAGCCACATCAGCATCTTCAGAGCAAGCATTTTCATATGCCGGGAATTGTGTAAATGCAAAGAGAAGCAGCCTGCATCCGGCAACAGTAAAGAAACAATTGTTTGTTCACGATAACAAGGCAGTCGTCGAACCATTTTTATCAAATTAAAGTATTTTTATTAATTTTTAATGTGCTATAAGCAACAAATGTGCATATAAACTTATATTTTCATTTTTATTTTAAATTAAATGAATTGACAGTTATTAAAACAACCGAAATTATTTGTTCACGTTAAAGTCGTCGTCTGTAGCCGACTTTTAGCCGCCGCCGGCCGTATATTGCTTTAGCCGCCGCCGCCGATTTTCTTTCGGCTGCAGTCGACTTTTAGCCGCCGCCGACTTTTTTATGCTTAGCCGCCGCCGCCGAGAATTTTACATCGGCTTCGCCCTCTGGGGGGTTGGGTTCTATATATTGTAATTGTAACAAATAGATGTGTGTGTAAAACAAAAGAATAAAAACAAAAAGATTACTGTTGATATATCTGCTGTTGTTAATAATTAAAAAATTGAAACAGAAACAACAAAAGATAAGTTGGAACCTTTTTTCAAAGAATCTCCTCCTTTGCAGAAAAATGTCTTATTTTTTTCAAACTGAAAACGTTTTTTTTTTCTTCGGCAAATATTTTTCTAGAGAAAGAAAACAACAACAACAACTACAATGAAAGGAGGTCAGGTCTTCTTTGGCTGGTTTTTTAGAAAAAGAAGAAGCAGAAATAAAACCCCAAAACAGAATAATTTTGTTTTACGGCGGCGCTTGCTTATGGCGGTGTTGTCTCCTCTCATTACGACGACTAGGCAGACAGGCTGGTTGACTGGCCGAAAAAGCCAAACGAGAGTACCACCAACCAACCATGTAGTATAGAGTGTTTGATAATTCTTTTTTTTTTGTGTGTGAAATAGAGACATGAGAATTATAACCTCAAAATACCACCAAAAGAGATAGAACAAAATAAAGCAAAACACTCGGCACACAACGACAACAACAACGAAACCAAGACGGGACAGAGCAGGGGGGTCGGTTGTCGTTCACAAGGAGAGATTCACGAAGGAGTACAAAATGCAGTGATAGCAAAAAACGAAAAATGCAATGCAAATTAAACACACACACACACACGAAAAGAAACAAGAAATAACCATTAAAGGAATTACAGAGAAAAATGTCTCAACAACCCGAAATTGTTTCAGGAAAAAATCAACAAACAATTTTCATTATACCATGAAGAAAAAAATAATTCCAATAGAAAAAATAAGCATTTAATTGAGGTTATGATTTGTTCTTCATATCATATCATGTTCAAGTATGTTCAAGAATGTCTTCTCTAAAAAGCTGTCCATATGTCTGAATTGCATATCAAAAAAAAGGGGGTAGGGTTTAAAAACTCACCATATTGAATTATTATTAAATTTAATGACGAAGATGATGATCTATTTGCAAACAAAATAGCACAACCTTTTGATGTTTTTTCGTCGTTTTCTTCCAATACAGCTGCAGTTTTTTTTTCGACGTTCCGACTATGTATGTATTTAGTATATTTCAAAGTTTTTTTTTTACCACTTGTTTTGATACAATTTTTTTTCTTCTTTTTGTTTCTTCTTGTGATCGGAATATAAATTTCTATTACGTTTTAGGAAATATTTCCGAAATCTCCTCACCGAGTAAAGACATTTTTCTTTCTTATTAAAAACCGTATGGGGTTGTCCTCTACGTCACTCACATCTACTACTCTACGGTGCTGGCTGACTCGACGTGTGCTGCTGCCGCTGCTTGCTTTTTTGGATGATGACGGACGGACGAACGACCGTGCTTTTCCGTTTTCTTCTAAACTCGTGGCAAAAAAACAGTCCACGTTTTTGGAAAGAAAATTTATTTACCAAAAAAAAAAAAAAAATCCCTCACTCAACAAATCCCAAGAACAATTGTGTTGGCACTCGATGTCGAAAAGACACACAATAAAAAAACTAAAGTAGTCGTCTTCCCAATACACTTGAATTTTTTGTCACTTTCGCCATTTTGTTAAGCAACACCTTTTTCGAGTTTTATGTCGAAAAATTTGATATTTTGCGTATTAATATTACTATTGAAGTTTATTTTGTTTTGCTTTTTTCCGAGGCAATATTTAACCGTATTCTTTTTTATTAAACTTTTCAACAATTCTATTTTTTCCAATCAATTTAATTTTTTCCTTCTTTTTTCTTTTTTCCACTGCTGTGAAAACTAGCGACACGATATGAATAGAGAAATTGAACGCCAGCTGACGACGGATCTTTGACTGAACGAACATTTGCAATATGGCGCGCGTATGACTGAACGAAACAAAACAACAAAATGTCAAACAACAGGGTTGTTGAAAAACGGTACTATCGTTCAATTTGTCATAAATATAAAGGGGTGGGGTCATACATTGAATTTGATAAAAGATGGTGGTTGTATTTTTTGTACGAAGGTGTAAATTAAATCAATAAAAACAAGATAGTGAAACCAGTTTTGCTACGTTTACATTGGATGAGTTTTGTGTGCAATAATTTATTTAGTTATATAAAGAAAATGCCAAAAAATGAGGATGATGGATAACATAAATTTGATGTAAATGCAAGTTTAAGGTGGGTACAAACTATTAGTTTTCAATGATAAATTTTACACAGAGGGGTACACACTATTAGTTTGCACTGTCAGTTTGTTTGTTTTTATTGATTACTGACAACTCCAACTGCCATAAATGTTTGTTGGAGGAGGAGTAAAGCGAAAAAAGTGTTTTCGTAGATGTATTTTGGACATAATCAAACAATAGATTTATGAATGAATTACCCATGATGCAATAATAAGGTGATGTATGAAAACAAAACCCTTTGTGTTTGTCTCAACCATCTGTCAAATTTTTCCCTATAATATTTCACATGGTTGACAACATTGCACATCGAATTCAAGTAGAAATTACGCACTTTGACAGTTAATCGAGACATCAGCTGCGTTAAATGGACTACCTATTTATTATGAATGAATCGACTTTATATTTTTATTCGATGAAAATATTTGTTGAATGCAATTTTTGGTTTATTTAATTGAAAACATTATTTTATTATTTATTTGAATTAACAAAAAGAAACCATTTTTTTTATCAATTATTCAAAATCATATGGTCTCAGCATTTGATGCATGACAACCAACCATGGAGCACCAAAACCAATAACACCAGCCACTAAATAAAATACCGTAAAACGATATGGTTTATCCAGTTTGAATGGTAAATTCTTAAATATTCAAAAAAATAAAAAAAAAAAATTAAAAGTAATATTAAATACCATAATATCTGAAATACTTACACAACCCGGTACACCACCTTTATAATGGCGTAGAAAATAATTTTGATATGAAAGTGGAGGTTTGGGATGGGTGCGCAACAATTGTTTGGTAATATTCAACATTTTTTGCTTGCTTGCGTTCGAAGATTTTTGAATGCTTTTTGAAAATTATTTTCAGGATTGAAAAAGAAAAAAATAATTGAAATTAATTTTGCATTTTTAATCAAAGCTAACATGATTTTTTTGAAACATTTTTAGAGGCAAAGTATTTCTCATGTTAGAAATTTGGCACAGCTGATCTATTTGGCCCAAGGACGAATCCTATTGAAATTGGAAAAAATCGAACGAAATTTTGCACAGAGTATTGTATTGAGTCTATAACGATGAGTGGGGAGTTTCGGGAAGTTCGGTTCAGATTTCGATATAGCTCACATATGTATTTTCGTCCGATTTTATGTAAATGGTGTACCAAAGTCCCTATATATCTTTCGATTTGCAGGATATTTGGCACAGCGTACTGAATTGAGACTAGAATGATGTGTGCTAAGTTTCGTGAAAAACGGTTCAGATTTAGACATAGCTCCTATATATATTTTCGTTCGATTTAATGTAAATGGTGAACCAAGGTACCTATATATTCTCCCATTTGCACAAAATTTGACACAGCGTACTGAATTAAGCCCAGAGTGATGTGTGCTAAGTTTCCTGAAAATCGGTTCAGATTTAGGTATAGTTCCAATATATATTTTCGTTTCGATTTAATAGAAATGCTGCACTAAAGTTTTCTATATCTTGCGTTCCTTTTTGAAATAACATTGACATGAATATCCGGTGAAGGGTATCATATAGTCGGCCCAGTCTGACTTTACTGATGACTGGTTGGAGCTATGTCAAAATTCACGCTTAAATGTTAACTCCTGAATTTTTGATTTGTTATGTTTGGAGGCTATGAAAATGCTCGCCTCGAAATCTTGCTATTCGTTAATATTAAATTAAAACACCAACTATTTCTCTTTTTTGGTTTATCTGTGACTTATATTTCGTGTTATTTGAATTAACTTTACATTTTATGAATCATTTCCAATTTTTTGGTAATGATTTGACATCACACTTTTGCCTTAAGACCAAACAAATAATCTGTAAATAGAAGAGAAAAATAATAAAATTAGGGATTGCAAAGTAAAGCAAAGATATACAATTATCAATAAAAAAATTGTTTTTGGAATACTTGGATACAAAAAATTCTATAACTAAAACACTGGTGTCAAGCATTTTAATATTTTTTAACGATATGGTAGTGGCTAATATACAATTTTTTTAAATAATATTAATTGCCAAATTTTATAAAAATTTGTCTCGAATCATTGATCGAGGGACAAACATACTAATTAATAAACCAAAATTATATGTCCCGATGTCATGGTCCCGATTGTTGAAAATCAATATCCAAATTCCTTATTATGGATCCATTGTATAACATTTTGAAAATAGTTAAATTATTGCAGTACATTTTTAAAGGAATTCTTCCTAAATATTCCAAAAATCTACGTTTTAAACATTCAATATTTCACTTTGATACTTAGCATTGCACTTGACCATAATTGTCATTATACTAACCTAAAATGTACGCTCCTTGTAGTTTAGGCCTTCAACAATTGATGTCTGACAATCAAGAAGGGTGAGCCGAAACCCAAAACGGTGAATGTGGTGAAAATGGCTGTAAGCTTGTAACGGTTCTTCAAGCTGAAGGGCAAGTTCTAGAACAAAAATAAAGATAGAGAAAAAAAGTTAGTCACAGGTTCCTTCTTTTTAATAGATTTTTCATAACTTATGTAACCGCATGAATGAACGAACGAACACATCTCATCATGCACTGACATAATTTCTGTTTTGATTTTTTCAATATTTTCTCAACTTACTTCACCGGGAATACCACCATGGCTGTGGAATCTAACCATAGCCTTGGAAATGTTACGGGCCAACAATAATTGGGAAGCGTTCAACATTTTGCACCGAAAATTTAGTTTAGTTTCGTTAACACGAGCAGACGATGGAGAAACCCCTTCAAGTTGCCAAAATGAAAACAGAGTATATCGTTGGTGGAATAATGACGCCGTTGAAAATAGTAAATGAGCTGCGGTTATCCATATAACGCCGTTATGCCATAGGCTGTAGTGGGTTGTACGATATATAGTACAACTGATACAATTAATCGTATAAAGAGGCGAGAATTGTGACAGATTGTTGTAGATAGGATTTTAAAGAAAGTAAATATGTAGATAGTCGCTTCTTCTAACAAATATAAAATAAGTATATGATTTTTTTCTCGAAACGCAGTAAGTAAAAGCGTGAAATGTTTGTTTTTAGTCATAATAAGGTAATTACTTCCAGACATATGCAATTTTTTTATTTTAATTAAATTTTAACATTGCGTATACGTCGCGTTAATCCTGTTCACAAATCCGTGGGATTTTGGTGGTGGCGCTTTTAATACTCGACAATCGGGAGGAGGGCCAATAAATTTGTCTCGATTATCTGTTAAATTTTTCCATATAATATTTCAAATGGTTGGCAACACTGCACATCGAATTCAAGTAGAAATTATCCACTTTGACAGTTAATCAAGACATCAGCTGCGCTAAATGGACTACCTATTCATTGTGCCATGGTCGGGACCATGATGTAATAATAAGGTTTTTTTGTCTCCACCATCTGTCAATTTTTTTTCTAGTAATATTTCAGATGGTTGGCAACATTGCACATCGAATTCAAGTACAAATTCACATCGAATTCAAGAAGAAACTTTTTTTATTTTCCGCTATTCATGAATAAAATAATTTGTTTTTTAGTTTTTATTAATTTGTCGTTTCTATTCTGTTAAATAAATCTGGTTACATTCTAATTTTTTTTGTGCTTTCCGCTATTCATGAACAAAATTATTTGTTTTTTTTTCTTTTAATTTTTATTAATTGTCGTTTGTATTTTTTGTTAGAATCTGGCAAATAAATGTTATGTTCGATCTAAATGGGATTAAATTTTAATTTTTTCCGCTATTTATAAATAAAATAACTTGTTTTTTAATTTTTATTAAATTGTCATTTTCATTCTTTTTGGAATCTGTCAAATAAATGATATATTTTTATTTGATTTTTACGCTATTTATAAATAAAATGAGAGGGGAGTAAGAAATGTTATTCTCTTCTTTTAACATACATATTACGGTTTTTATAAATATAAAAAATAGATATATTTTTAAAATTCTAGAACAAAAAATAATTCCCATACATTTTGCAGTTACTTGTCATTGCTTGCACCCACGGCGCCTTATATGATCGCGTGACGCCGTTAAAATTTCCATTGACTTTATACTCTGCTCTGTGTTTCATAATTCTTAACTGTCAGACGTCGTAGACGATCTTTTGATTAAGTAGTTTTTTTACGTTGATTCTTTGAGACACCTTACAGGTGTACTTTTTTTAAGTTTAATTTAGTCCGATTTTTGGCATTTATTGCACCCACATCCCAAAGATATAATCATGTTAAAATTAAGAACTATTTTAAATACCCAAATATGGCGTACTGGAGGATCATCAGTACGCCTGTTGCATGTTGGTGAGGCCAATGTCTTGCCGACTGCTGTTGATAGGAACTCAGCCGAATTCAAGGTAGGTTTTTTGTTTTGACGTCGTAATTGCATAATTCTCGATATTGACATTGTGGTGTTGTTGTTGTTATGTTTTCATTTTTGGTTGTTTTTTTTTTTTTTTTTTTTGGCAGGAAAATGAAAAAGATATGTCAAACTTGGTCAATGAACTGCGTTCAATTACAAGTGAAGTGTTGACAGGTGGCGGTGCCAAGGCTATTGAACGTCATACTTCAAGAGGTAGGTGGTATTTACCGACTGGATGCCCTGAACCTAGTATTTAATTCTCTTTTCAAATTCTAGGTAAACTTTTGGCTCGCGAACGTATCAACAAGTTGTTGGACAAAGGTTCTCCCTTCCTGGAATTGAGTACATTAGCTGGTTACCAATTATATGGTTCCGAAGTTGTTAACTCCGGTGGCATTGTTACCGGTATTGGCCGTGTTTGTGGGTAGGTACTATTCGTATTATTAAAATCTTATTTATCGAATTTTTTAAAATCTATTTTTTTTATTCGAAATTTCAGTACTGAATGTGTTGTTGTTGCCAATGATGCCACAGTCAAGGGTGGTTCCTATTATCCCATAACAGTTAAGAAACATTTACGTGCCCAAGAAATTGCTCAAGAGAACCGTTTGCCATGCATCTATCTTGTGGATTCTGGCGGCGCCAATTTGCCACGCCAAGACGAAGTCTTCCCCGATAAACTGCATTTCGGTCGCATTTTCTACAACCAGGCCAATATGTCTGCTTTGGGCATACCACAGATTGCTGTTGTTATGGGTAGCTGTACTGCTGGTGGTGCCTATGTCCCCGCCATGGCCGATGAAAGTATAATTGTTAAGAAACAGGGTACCATCTTCTTGGCTGGTCCACCTTTAGTTAAGGCAGCAACCGGCGAAGAAGTTTCGGCTGAAGATTTGGGTGGTGCCGATTTGCATTGCAAGACATCTGGTGTAACCGATCATTATGCTGTCGATGATGAACATGCTTTGTATTTGGCCCGCCAGGTTGTGAGCAATTTAAATTTACCCGCCACCAATAACTATGACGACCAATTGATGTACTCCAGCAAGAAAGCGATAAAGGCATCTATCACTAATTCCATTGAAAATGCTATTGAGGAACCCAAATATGATCCACGCGAGCTGTATGGTATTGTTGGTCCCAATCTCACCAAGAGCTTTGATGTTCGTGAAGTTATTGCCCGCATTGTTGATGGCAGCCGTTTTACGGAATTCAAGAAAATGTATGGTGAGACTTTGGTGTGTGGTTTTGCCAAACTCTATGGTCACACTGTGGGCATTGTTGGCAATAATGGTGTGCTGTTTTCGGAGAGTGCTCTGAAGGGTTCCCATTTCATTCAGTTGTGTGCTCAACGCAACATTCCCTTGGTATTCTTGCAAAATATCACCGGGTTTATGGTTGGCCGCGATGCTGAGGCTAATGGCATTGCCAAGAATGGTGCAAAAATGGTCACCGCTGTGGCATGTGCCAATGTTCCAAAGTTCACTGTCATAATTGGTGGTTCTTATGGTGCTGGCAATTATGGTATGCAAGGAAAAAGAATATTTTATTTTTGAATTACTTAAAAATATCCCATTTCATTCATTTCCAGGTATGTGCGGTCGTGCCTATTCCCCTCGATTCCTTTACATGTGGCCCAACTCTCGCATCTCGGTTATGGGTGGCACCCAGGCTGCCAATGTTATGGCTCAAATTACAGCCGATCAAAGAAAACGTGAAGGCAAGGCATTCTCCGAAGATGAAGCCAATAAACTGAAGGCTCCCATTATTGAGAAATTCGAAAAGGAAGGTTCTCCCTATTATAGTACTGCCCGTTTGTGGGATGATGGTATCATTGATCCCGCCAATACACGTCAAGTTTTGGGTTTAAGCTTAAAGGCGGCCCTTAACAATCCCGGTAATGGTACCAAATTTGGTGTATTCCGTATGTAAAGCAAGCACCATTGCGAACAAATATGGGGAAGAATGTGCATTTATTTTACTAGCCAAACTAAAAACAAAAAATAATAATTTGTGTGTTTAACGCCGAAAAGAATAGGAATGTTTTAAGTGATCATGAAGAAACTGTTGCATTTATTAGAGTATAAGTAAAAGAAATGTTAAACATTTTTATATACTATCTTGTGTTGTATAGTCAAATTTTTTTAAAGATTTTTTTCTAAATAAATAAATTCTATAAACGCTATTATCGTAAATTTTAAAGATTGTTCATTTTAACTTCTATTTGATTAACAATTCTTTATTATTGGGGACATTTACATATGCGATTTTAAATCGACTCGATTAACGAAACCATGGCACAATGAATAGGTAGTCCATTTAGCGCAGCTGATGTCTTGATTAACTGTCAAAGTGTGTAATTTCTACTTGAATTCGATGTGCAGTGTTGCCAACCATTTGAAATATTATATGGAAAATTTTGACAGATAATCGAGACAAAAACAAAGGTTTTTGTTGGTATACATCATCTTATTATTGCATCATGAACGAAACACAGAAATACACCCTAATTGTTTACACATACCGTAAATCATGATCTAAATGTCGATCAGCTGTTATTTGTTTTGGTATACATACAAAATTATGAAATGGTGCCAAAAATAATTGTTTGCAATTTGAAAATGAAAAGAAATGTGGAAATGTTTTTGCAATGCTGTGATCACTAGCAATGTATAAAATCATCTAAAGCACAAAAAATCAATAAATAGGTAGTCCATTTAGAGTAGCTGATGTCTCGATTAACTCTAAAACTGCGTAATTTCTACTTGAATTCGATGTACAATGTTGCCAACCATGTGAAATATTAAAAGGAACAATTTGACAGGAAAAATGATGACAGATTTCGCTATGTTCGATTTTTCAACTAATTGGACATGATACATGAACTACCTTAAAATAGTTCTGATTGTTCCTTTCGCGCAGTCGTTTGAATATAATAGTACGTTTACATATTATCGGATTTAGTTAACCCAGTGTGTTTCCATTGTCAATTCCATTGTTAAATAAATCCTCTTAAAGTAGGTTAACCCTGCAAAATGTACTAATTAAATGCCGTTTATGTCCACTTTTTTCAAATAGATCAAACCCATGGAACAATAAATATGTAGTCCATTTAGCGCCGCTAATGACTCGATTAACTGTCAAAGTACGTAATTTCTACTTGAATTCGATGTGCAATGTTGCCAACTATGTGAAATATTATAAGGAAAAATTTGACAGATGGTCGAGACAAAAACAAAGGTTTTTGTTTTGATATTGCATCATAACATAGTCCAACAAAAAAAAATAATATTATTAATTTCATACAATCTCAAACTTCACTTTGGTAACCATATTTTTTAAAATAATTAACTTTGCTGTTTTAGTATTTTCTCGTGAGAGAACTTCAAGAAGTGAATTTTCCAGTGAAATTTGTAGCCCTCTATAGCACAAATTTGACACTAATATTGGAAAATGCGTCTTGTCAGAGTCTAAACACAACCAGCGAGTCAGGAGTGAGCCGGCGTGAAAATAAAACGAAAGAATTAGCATGGTTTCACATTTATCGGGATCGATGTTGAGAGTTTCTCTCTCTCATGGTAAATTGAGAGTAATTAGAGTTGCGCTATTTTTAATTTTGTAACAAGCGTACTTTTTGTTCCCAGAAGGTACTACCAATTGACATGAACGTACCAAAACAAAAATTAGATTTTTTTTTATTATTCGTGAATTATCACATAAATTATTTATGCAAATAACTGGTGTAAACATTAGCCAATATTTCTCGATAATTATGATTTATTATCATTTGAAGTAGAATTTTAGGTACCTTTTAGTACTTTTTTGTTCCTACCTGTGGTAATGTTTTCCAACACAATTCACAATTTACCACTGAGAGAGAGAAACTCTCAACACCGATTCCGATCCCGATAAATGTAAAACTCCGCTATGACTCTGAGCAAAAATGAATAAGATCTGTTCTAGCGTCAAGCCGCTAGACGCGAATGTCAGTCGTTGGGATTTCCCGTTGCAAATAAGAAACACACGGTAAACGACCGTCGCTGACTCTAGACTCTCTGGTTGTGTTTAGACATTACGGTTGTATGTCTTTGCGTCGTCTCGCACATTCAAAGTGACGCCGTTATTTATCACTGGCTGGCTCAGACTCAGTTCAGTAGCCGAAGATACTCAACGACAGAACGACGTAAAACGGCAACAGTAAAACTACACAGCAAGTAGAACAAAGCGATTAATCACACAAAAATTGATTAGAAAAATCTTGAATTATATTCAGAGAAAAATTGTGCAAATATTGTGTTTTCAAAAACAAAGCAAAAGCGTTTAACATTGCGGTTAACGGTGAACGAGAAGGAATAAGACCCGAAAACTATCTAGTAGGCTGAAACGAAAAAAAGGAACAATCTACACGATTTTTCTTTTTCGCTTCTTCATTTTTTGTGCAAAGAAGCAGCGCCGCCCCAGCCGATTGATTTAAATTTGTGTGCGTGTGTGTGTTGGTGGTTTGTGGTGTGAAGAGGTGAGTGAGAGTTGAAGAACTCCCGGCTGCAATTTCCTTTCCAACTGCTTCGAGTGTGAAAGAGAACGAAGAAATTTGAAGTGTAACTTATAAAATAAAATGAAGAAGAAGAACAAGCAGCAACAAAATGAAATGAAAAGATTGCCAAAAATGACAAAAAAGAAAAAAGATGATTAATTATTGGAAAATGTTGGATATTTTTGCAAAAATGAATGAAAAAAGAAAGAAATTATTAATAATGGGAGAGAGATATAATACATATGGAGGAATTGTGTATAAAATCTTGTGGAAAATTTGCCGGTATTTGCAAAAAGAAAAATTCCTTAACTCTATGTATTGTGCTTGCATGGCTTTGCATATGGTTTCATATGTATTATTTTTTATTCTTCTCCCCTTTATCTAATTCCTGTAGTTGTGTGTGCAACTAAAAAAATCATGAGTTGGTGTTGGTTTTACTTGAAGTGAGAGTCAGCCAGCCATCGTATGAGAGAGTGAGCAAGAAGTGGATGTTTTTTAGTTGTTATTATTCACATTTATTTTATTTTTTTATTATAAAGACTCTGTGACGCATACAATTTTACATTATCATCATCATCGTCCATGGAGGGGATGATGTTTGCTTGCAGGCCAGTTGCATATGTATAGGAAGAACAAGAGGATAATCCTCCCAAAAAATGTCTTGAGAATCTGCAGAAAAGACGCTTGCCAGATGCCACTGTGCCTGCCTGCCACATTGTGTACGGTACTGCCTGTCTGCCGGCTAAGTTTTGTCAAGGCATGTTGCCTATTGTTGTTTGGAATCAAATGGCCAACCAGAGTTGATGGAGATTATTTTCATCATAGTATATTATTTGTGTGTGTCAGTCAGTCTGTTGGAATTCTTTTGGTCCAGGCCATTCTTTGGTGCTTTGAAGAAATTGACTTTTGAATTGTGTGTTGTTTTTGTTCTGAGAATTTTATGTTTATTTGCTTCTTTTAATAGTTTTTTCTTTCTTTTCGCTTTTATTCTTATGGATATGGGATTTTAACTGTTTAAGCTTTCTAAGATGACCTCTTTTTGTGCGATGACAGTGAATTGTAAAATTATTAAAAAAAAACATCCAACACGACGACGACGATGTGTCATCTTTTCAAAATGTGACTAAACATTCCATACCATTCTATTTCCATGCCATTGCTGTTGAATGAATGACGAAAATCACCCCGTCTTTCCCCCCTTCACTTCACCATATATAAACAAGAACGTATGTGTCCAGCAACCCCCCACATGTTTTCAATGCAAAATGTCCTTTTTCTGTCCTTTTCTGTGTGGATTATCTTTGATGATGATGGCACAGCCTACCCACATTTAATGGGTATCTTTGGAAATTATTGTGTACGTGTCTTGTTTTCTTGCTATTTACAGTAACTGGATATTATATCTCATAAGTATGTTTACGTCATCCATTTGTACTCGATATATAATAATTTTTTTGCTTGTTTAAAACTATTTCAATATTCGCCACATATAAATATGAAAAGCAAAAACAAGACCTCGTTGGCGACCACCACCTCCGCTTTATTCGATATTATTATGTCGTACAATTATATGCGGTTTTTTGTTCAGCCACTATTTTGCTGCCTCTGATGTTGTTATTTTTGTTGTCTTTGTATGTGCGTGTGTTTGTATGTTTGCTGCGTTACTTTTTAACCCACCTTGTTCGATTAGTTGTTGGTTTCAAGTTGCTGTTGTTTTCTGTTTTTTTTTTTTTTTTGTTTCGGTTTGTGGCGATTCTCATAACTGGCATATGCCGGTTTTTTATTTTTGGGAAGTTCATAATAATAAAAAATAGACAACCGCAACATATTTGCTTTTGTGTCTCCTCTGCCTCTACCTTGTTTCTCTTCCACATATCTTTTTTTGGATTCCAAGATTTTTATTTGCATAACGATGACAATTTTGTTGTAGTCAATTTTATGTGTCCATCTATTTACCTTTTTTTATTTCAAATCGATTTGGAAGGGTTTATTATATGTTTTTATAACATTTAAAAATTTTAGGGTGTGGCAGGGTTATAACTATATGGGCCTATGTGTAATTAATGACCGACATATGCCAATTTCGAACCCAAGATCCTTGTTTTGTGTCTCAATTATTTCTTTTAGGAGGTATAATTATATGGGGAAGATGCTTAAATGCTGGCCGATATATTTCATTATCGTCAGGTTCGAGTTTTTATAACGATTTCCTTAGAAATCGGAATGATTACAACCGATGGCTAAATCGTCTTAGAATTTCCATAATTTGTAGCGTAAAACTGACTATTTCGAGTAACGACTATCCCTATACTATGGTAGAATACGCTTATATGGGGACAACCCCTACACACAGAAGTAATCGGCTAACTATTTTAACACTAGATAGCCGAAAGCAGTC